TCCCATATAGAAAATATAATGCTTATTTATGTTTCAGAAACAATTTTAAACCTTTGTTGGTACAACTAATGATAAGAATGAATTCTAAGAACATGCATGATTTTTATCATACTCGCCCATGTAGCATAGAATGGCCCGTTACATAAAAAGTTTTTAAGATTTGTAGGTACGTCTTCTAAAACTAACAAGCAGGGACTTTATTAAACTATCTCAAAAAGGACACTAAATGTTGCATTCACATTCCACAAACGTTACATTTTACGTATTGATACTAATTTCTAGAAAGACGTATTCTAAAATCAACAAGTAAGGTTCTTATAAATCTATGCCACACATTAAACAAAATGTTCCATTTATGTCTTAGAAATAATTTTCTATATACCAAAAGCATATAATAATTTTTATATGTTTGTAAAAATGTTTTTCTGATGTTTAAATTTTCAGGTTTTTTCCATAAATGCAAACATTTATAAGACTTTATTTAAAAAAAAAAAACATATAAATTCTATCAAGACAAATGAATAGTAAACTTTTATCAACTTAGAAGTTTGAAAAATATAATATTTGAAAGGACAGTTGTTTCATAAAGCTATTAGCTGTTTTAATTTTTCAAAAAATTATCTTAAAGAAGAAAAAATGCTTAAAAGTTTTGTTTTGTAAATTTATTAATTAGTTGAAATTTATTAATTAGTTGGTTATTGTTATTTAGTTTTCAAAATTTATCAATGTTTTAAAATGCAATGTTTTGATTTACTTTCCATTCAAGTTTTTCATTAACTATTTTCAAAATTTTCTCTCTTCAAGGTATTCTTACTTAGCTTTTACTCAAATTTGGCAAATTTTAAAATTAGCTAATTTTGGTAAAAAAAATACATTGCCATATTTGCAACTTAAAGCTCGTATTATTCAAACATTTCTGTGATTTAATTTATTAATTGCATTGACTAAAAAAACTCAATTAATAAAGAAATATTTATTCTAAGACATTTTAAATTGTGATTTAAATATAAATATTTATTTTTATTTCAGAATATCTAAAATGGAATTTCCTAAAGAAATATTTTCTCGTATTTTAGACTGTCTAAATTCTGATTTAATAAGAAAAGTTTCTTATTTTAGATAGTCTAAATTCTGATTTAATAAAAAAAACATTTATTCTTGTTTTAGATTGCCTAAATTCTGATTTAAAACGAAATATTTTATTTTATTTACGACTGACTAAATTATGATATTGAGCAGTAATTCTAATGAAATAGTAATGTTTAATTACCAAATTTATGATATAAAACTATAATTGATTTTATACAAACAAAGTGTTTTGCAAAAACAGCCCTTATTATATATTTTTATTGAGAATTTTAGCAAAATTCAATTTATAAAAGCATATACATTAGAAGTCTCAAATTCAAAAAAAAAAAAAAAAAAAAAAAAAAAAAAAAAAAAAAAAANAAAAAAAAAAAAAAAAAAAAAAACAATGATAGCGAAATCTGAAAAATCACTATTAAGGAAGACGAAGTTAAAACATCAAAACCGGATCGTACCTTCCTGATAGATTGGATAGATTTCAATGTCTTTTTTTTTTAATTTATGATTTTACGTTATTCAATTCAATATTAGCTTGAGGCCTCTAACGGGTCAATTTTTTTATTCATTTTCGACGAGAATTCGAAATACTATATGTATTTAGGGTGGTCATTTCAAATCACCCTATATTAAAAACAAACTTAGTTAACATTAATTGTTCTGAATTGATGATATACAAGTATTAAATTATATAAACTTAAAATCAATAAATTTTATCATATACTTTATGTGTAGGAACATTTAAACCTAATTTTAACCACTTTGTTTTGTGTCAATAATCTACACATCTATTTATAATGCGTGAGACAACTATTCGCATGCATTTAAATTATTTATGCCTATAAACAATGAGTTTATGCAGCTTGTTTTTACATACATTCTGACTGAACGAATTAAGATTGGGAAAGAGAAATTCTTAGTTTAGCATTTAGAGAAACAACTCACAAAATATTCATAATATATTCCCATTTTGAATCACAGCTATCAAATTCTACCCTCATCAATTCATAATTATAATACGTAATACGAGTGTTAATGATATTTGTCACAATTTCGTCGCTAAACTAGAGCATTTCCCCGTGAAGGCTTGACATTCAGCATAATTTACGAGTTGACAGAGTACTCTAGCCTGACAGAAACTTCAGGGAAAGGAGATACTTACCTTATTAAAACATCGTTACGATAGAAATTTCTCCCCCTTCTCCAAATTTGAAAGGCAAATTAAAGCAATCAGAACATCTAATGAATACTCAAAGCATCATGCCTTAGTTACAAAACGTTCGAAAATGAGTAGCAATATTAATAAAAATCTGATAAGTGTGTAGTGATTTTGATTTATATAGCAAATTAGTATAACACTGTTAAATCAAGCAATCGTCCGTTTTACAACATTTCTTACAGAAAATATTGTAAAATGAACATTTGAATTTAGCAAAATTTACAGACTATTTAAGTGAAAAGTTGTTGTAGTTCATTTACGTCGCACTAGAGCTGCACAATGGGCTATTGGCGACGGTCTGGAAAACATCCCTGAGGATGATCCAAAGACATGCCATCACAGTTCTGATCCTCTGCAGAGGGGATGGTTTCCTTGCTTTGGTAGCTCGACGACCTGCTCCCAAAGTCGAGCTCTCTACGGTAGAACAGTTTAACGAGGGCCAATACCGCACACCCTCGGTCCCTACGCAGACTGATCCAAGTGGACACCCACCCGCATACTGACAGCAGCCAGTGATGCTTGACTTCGGTGATCTGCTGGGAACCGTGTCTTAACGATCAGTCCACTGCGGGACATAATTAAATGGAATGGTAAAAAATATAAATGCGGGAAAAATTTATCGTTTTGATTTATAAATTGATCCACTTGATTGCGTTAATTTATTGTAATAACTCACGATATGATCATTTAAAATGTTGGTGGATTTACAGAGCTCAAAATAAAAAAAGAAAACACCTTAATAACTTCTGATTGTATTTTCACATGCTAAAATGCAAACTTATTGATTCGAAAAGCTAACACTAAATGTGTTACAATATTTGTGGCGATATTTTAAATTCAGACTAAAAAAATTTCTTTCTTCGAATTATCATGTTTTTTCTCCGATTGATTGGACTTTTTGACTCTTTAATTACGGGGATGGCCGCAACGCAATCGAAGAAAAATGAACATAATTATGTAGGCAGGAGAGCGGTCGAAAGTTTGGTCCCCTTACGTATTTTATCGTATTTTTGGAACTTTTTAAGATTCGAATAATTTTTGCTAATTAATGTATACTTGAACCAAAAATACATTAGAGGATATATGAATTTAAAAGTGTGAGAAAGCATTTCGTTTTGAATAATAAATTAAGAAAAGGATTTACAGAAAAGGAATAATATAAAAAGATTAATATAATACGCTAATATAGATAAAAACGGTATATCTTAAAGGAAGCTGTTAAGGGTAGCACAATTTTCTATAGGTATATACAGTTTCAAAATAATTAAAAAAGGATTTTAATACAGAATGTAGAATTCTTGTATAGTTCTAAGGGATTTTATTTTTTGTTTTTTTATGTTGTTAAGAGCAATTAAATCATTTTTAGGGATTTAATAATTAAAATTCAATCTTCATCGCAATGGAATGTAAAACAATTATTTGAGTAATACTTAGCGCTCACAATAAAATCTCTTTGAATATCAAACTATAATAAAATGGAGTTTAAAACTAGACACATTTTGATTGCGTAATCACATTATCCGTCAAACCGTTTATTTCATAATTATTTTTAACAGTAATGAATACTTGTTTTCTACAAGAAAAATATATAAAACGAGTTTTGAGCAGGTGACATAATGACGTCAATTATTTCCTACGTTAATCAGTGTTTGAAACACAGCAATCATAAGTATATTATTATTTTCCAAATGTAATTCAAGGATGGAATAGTAAAATAAAGAAATATTTGTTTTTATTTTATAAACTAGTAATGCAACGATTTTTTTTTTTAAATTTCAACTATTGTGTTAGGATTATGGATTTTATGGATTAATTATGGATTTAAGAAATCAAATGGACTGGCTCTATAAATTTAAGTTTAAACAAATAGAGTAAAAAAAAAAAATTCTTTTTTCAATTATCAAAATTTTAGAAACAACTCAGCTTTTGAAAAAGCAGAAAAGACAAGCGAAGAATTGAGACAATTTTTTTATTTCTGCATATTTCCACCGAACCTGGCGTTTAATGGCCTGATTGGATTCGAATACATAAATTTCAGTTTAATTTCGCATTCCCGATAATTCAACTTTACGTTACTCTGCCTTTCTACGAGTTAATTTAGTTCCTTTAAATAGTTTTGTAATTTCCTTAAAGTAAAAAAAATTAGGGGCTGTTGAGCTTTCATTTTTCAAGTTAGCAATTTTGTAAGAAAGCATTCAGTAAAAACAAGAGAACCACGTAATTGCTCAGGTACGCTTTGTTTTCAAGATGGAATTTTCAATCATTTTGACAACTTACTATGAATTCTTTTAACTATGAGAAATGTAGTGATTTCTCAAACAATAAAAAACTAACTAAAAATAATTCTTCAACTTATTTATCGCCTAAGAAATTAATTTCATCAAATTTCCTTACTTTTTTCCTTATTTTTTCCATTCAATTAAGAAAAATAAAATTAATTGAATTGCAACAACTGATGGGTAGCAAGACCAACAAAAACAGATAATAAATAAGATCAATTTTATTTTTATTTAAAAAATATTGAATGCATAAGTACTGCATGCTTTTATTATTATTATTATTCTATAAACTTTTAGGACTTCACAGTTATAGTTTTGCAAGATATTTTTTTAAAAGAAAACTAATTTTTAGAGCAATAATTTCAATAAAAATAGAATTCATTCATAGAAACTGTAAAAAATTTGTTTTATAATCTTACACTCATTTCCTCGGTTGGGAAGTGTGTAAAACTTCTATCATCTTGGAGAAGTACACAATAATATGGTTTCCAAGCAATCGGTTGAGATTTTGCTTGCTGGCGCCATCTATTGTTTTTCAGTCGTCCTACCAGAGCCTCCTTGTCTAAAAGAAAAGAAAAGAAAATTACTTAAAATTGAATATTACTTAATCTTGACATTTGAATTTTTATCACAGAAAATTTTAATAAAGCGGATATTAAATACGACACAGAAGTTAGGCGCATAACTAAATGAAAACAGTTTTTCAGTCATGAATTAAATTACAGTAACAGTATAAAATTTCTTTTTCTTTTTCAGCCGTTTTTTTCCCTTCTTTTTCATTCATCATTCTTTTTTTTTCTCTCAATAAAATAGCAATACGTTCTGGTTCTGAGTATCAATATTTATATTATTTACTAAATGCTATATATTAAAATAGTTAGATGGTTTTAAAGATCTTAAGAGATTTTATAGCTTTAATTCCTAAATTTAACTGAAATATGTTTTAGAACAGCTGACAAAATAAAAAAAAGAAAATTTTTCATATAAATAAATAATGTAACTCATTAGTGATTTAAATAATTATTCAAATAAGTGTTGATTTAAAACTGTGCAATAGTAACATTAATGATTATAATTAGATTTATACATGCCTTTTCGTATACTCTTAAATTTAATAGTAGAAATTAAGAGTTTAGTTAAATTAATAACACCATAAAAAATGATTAAAGTTAAAAAATTTTTTAAACCTGCATAACAATAGTTTTAAAAGTAGTTTAATGAAAGTAATGGTGCTGCCATCTGCTTAAATATTATGAAATAAATGTGTAATTTTTTTAAACCAATTTAGTTAAAACTTAGAATAGCAACGAGTTGAAAGGCTGATAATAAATAAAATTTAAAAAAAAACTATCCAACAGGTACAAGCTAAAATAATTTTGCTGGAGAAAATCCTTCAATAATTTTATAAAAATTCATGTGAAAATTCTATTATACACCATGTACCAAATTTTTGATAATTTTAATAGAAATGAAAAATAGAATTTTGGTAAAAAAAAGCTAAATATCAGAGATTTTGATAAAGTGTAAAAATAAAAATGATAATTACAACAAAAAGAAAATTTTTTTTTCCTAACACTAAATTACTATTCCTTTTCTGAAACTTTCCCCTTACGCTATCCTTATTTCTGAACTATTAAAAAATAAATAAATTATGAGCAAAATTCTAATATTTTCAACTTTCAATGAGCAGTACAAATAATGTTGGCGAAGTATAACACACTAAATCTAGTATGATTGTTTTTTAAAATCAAGTGAATTTCTGAATAATAAAAGCTAATTGCTAGAAAAATTAATGATTACGCCCGTAGCTTTGTAGTACGCATGATGTCATAATTGAATACTTTCTAGCGACGTCACGCGTGGGTCAGCCAATCAGACTTGACACACACGTGTAACGTCACTGGCAGGTATCCAATTAAATCTGATCTGAAAATTGATTCAACGAGTTGATAGACCCAAGCCTTAAACTGCCATGTGACGTCATGCCACGTGATTAGGCACAACCATGTGATAAGTAGCACGTACCCAATACATAGTTAGAATCTACAATATAATGCCAGAATACATATTGCTGAAATTTTCGAATCTTGTAATAAGTTGGTTGAAAATATAATATTGCTGTGTTGTTTCTGTTTTCTTTATACATTTTTGGAACGTTTTGGTAACTAACAAATATTACAAAAGTCACCTAGCTGGAGTGTAATTTCGACTATCGGATGTAGTTGAAAAAGATGTTTAAGTTAGGTAAGGCACAGCTTTTGCGTTTCTTGCGCTATATATTTCTAATATCAGTTCATGCATAGTTCACCTCTAAAATCTAAATTAAAAACCTTAGCGTAATCATTAAAATAGCTCACATAATGAATGAGGTAATTATGAAACATTTGTAAATTGCTTTTTATAAATAGTCCAGGAATCTAGTACGAAACTATAAGACAGGTTTTTTAAAAAGAATTATTAACATAGCCTCAGAGAATGCGTCATTCATTGTAGAAATTCGATGACCGTGTGTAATTTATATGAAACTTTTCTGTACAATATGTACAGATTTTCAATTATAATTCGTGTATATTTCATCACTAAAATAAAATAAAAATTTGAATAATTTTAAATAGTTTACAATTATTCGTTAGTTAATAGTAAAGTCATTCATTAATGAAATTGTGTGGTAAGTAACTTGCAGATATGGTTCATACGAAAATTTTATATGTTATATATATTTAATTGTAGTATATTTCAGTTTTAAAAGACGTGATTACACTGTAAAAATTCTACATACGATACGATACGATAAAAATTCGTATACGATAAAAATTCGTATACGATAAAACATACGATAGATCGTATACAATACGATATACATATACGATACGATATACATATACGATACGAAACACACGATATACGATAAGACATACGATAAACATACTATAAAACATAAAAAATACCGGCACTCAGGTACTTTTTACCGAAAAATCCATATTTACTGGGACAGGTTACAGAACAAAAATCTGATATACAGTAATTTTTACAGTAACAATTACCGTAAATTCACTGAATCACTGTAATTAAATAAATATTTTTAGGATAATAATGGATTTTACGGATGATACAGCCAAAGTGCCGGTACTTGTCATATCTGTAAATTTTTTATTTTATCTTATTTAACGGTATTTTTTTCATACCGTTTCACTTCTTTTTAATTATATTCGCTGAGACATTTGAAACCAGGACTTTCCCCATCTGTCAGCAATAGGGACGTATATTTCCTTAGCGGAAGGATGAGTAAGGGATGATTTCGTAGCAGTTTTCACCAAGGAAATGTGAAATTCTAAGAAAATGATTTCTAATTTCTAAGAAAATGCGAGAATCCTCGCACCTCTCACATTTTCTTAGAAAGCCGCTATTTAAACTTTTTCTTTACACACAAAAAAATTATCTATTTATTTACTGCAAATTTAATTACAGAAATATTGAGTGAAAATATTTTAATCTTAAAAAGTATTCCATTCCCTTATTTATTAAATGTGAGGGGGCAAAAGCTCTCCCCCCCCCGGGTCAGCGGTCCCTGATACGTTTTCATGCGTAACTTTTGTTCACAAAAGTTTCGCATTTAATAAAAGCACGGATGCATGGGTATTTTAATAGAAGTATTTTGTATAGCTGATTACACATTTTATAACTGATTTATCAAACAAAAAATGATTACATTATTTTGAAGAGTAAGAGACTCATTGACGAAATAGTTTTTAATTCGAAAACAAAATATGCCATTTTATTTCTGAGGTGATAGTTGAAGGCCTTATCGTTCGTAAAGATCACTCCGTTAAGATAAGTTTTATGATTTATCATCAGAAGTTTAAAATTTCAAGGTCGTTTTTAAAGGACAAATATAATTCTTCGTTCATCGCATATAATACCTTAAACCTGGTTTATCGTCTAAGTCCACTTTGAGAGCTGTCGGTACAATAGAATATAAGGGTTTAGCAAATCACATGCTTTTCATTTACACTCTGAGAAAAAAAAATATGGTCAAAATTATTAGAATGTGGTAAAACTTACTGTGTTTCTAGCCCTATGGAAACACCAAAAAGCTCAGTGATCATAACTGAAGCACTTAGGTGGAGAAATTTTGGTGAAATTTAGTAACCATATTTTTACAGTGCAATAAAGCTCAGAAAAAAAATCCTTATCTGACGAATTGCTATTTAAAAAAAGCAGGATTAAAAGCTTAAAAACCTGACATTTTTAGAGACTTCTTCCTGCAATCAAAACAGGTTTTGATGTTCTCTCTTTTATTTAGCTTATATCAATAATGATTCGTCAGATATAGTGTTATAGTTTTTTCCTAGTTTAAATATTAGTTTGCGACCACTAATGAGTCAGTATAATTTATTGATTTAACTATAAAAAGTATTTCAAAAATATATATTAAGGACAGTGATTACTGAACATTATATTATGATGTTGGTATTATTATAATGCACTTTATGATCAATAATTTGAAATTGTAAAGTAAAAGTAAACTTTTAACAGCTTTTTATCAAAAAATTTAAATTAAGTCATTAAAATAAATTATGAAATTACAAATTAAAACCATATGTAAGGCCCATTTTTTTAAATTAGTAAAAAAAATAATAATAATAATTTTAATAATTTTAATACAAATATTTATAAATAGACAACATAACATATAGTTCATTTTGTACACGCATATTAGTGATTAAAGTGTTTTCCTGTGAGGCCATTGGACGCTTTATTGAGTTAAACGTCAAACTTTTAACTTTATAGCCCATGACAAGGTTATTCTTTTTCTAGCCTCGTTTTTAAATGATGTGTATAGTGAAATGGTTATTTTACGACGTTTCACTTTCCGTTTATTGAGTGGAAAAAAAGTATTGTTATTGTAAAAATGAACTGCGTGTCCAAAGTGTCCAAATGACGACTCTCTTCATTTTTTTTATTAAGAACTATAAATTCTTCCTGATAGAAACACATAACGCTTGAAATATGCATCTTATTGGAAACTGTAATCGAATTGTTCTATTTTTTTTGTTGTGTTTTGTTGTATAATAAAGTATCTAAGTTATGCCAATTTTTGGGTAACTGTAATGATTACGATTTTGGCCCAATATTTTTGAAAATTTCTGAGACGGTCAATCAAAAAATGAGTGAGCTAAGATTTGTTTACATTTGTAATTTTTAGCTGTCATTTACAAAACTAGGAGGCACCGCTTATCCAATTGTAGTTGCCTTGCACTCTTCAATGCTATTTTTTATCCTAAATCCTCATTTTTCAAAAAAAAAAAAAAAAAAAAAAAAATAAAAAGATACATTTTCTTTCATAACGTGTAATTATAATTTCATGTTAACACAATTATTAATTGTTTTAATATGTTGATCGCAACAAAATAAACGTTTACTTATTTTTGAGAAACAATTTTGTACAGTACTTGAAAAAATTTATAAAGCTTAGGAATAAAGTATTAGTATCCCAAAAAGAAGTAATATATGAGAAATAATTTTACTTGTTAACAATATGTAATGATAACCTGATATTGA